GACTTTAATAAAAAATGAAAACATTTTATTTCACAGGAATAATGTATTGCATTCTATTATACCATCACCACCATTTGTATCTATAAAAGCCGAAAATGTATGTAGTCAGAAACTTAACGACATTATTGGTCATTATAGATATGCAACTATAAAAAATATTACTTCTGACCAATTCAATATTACATTATCTAATTTTAATACAACTAATGATTGGAAAGTTGAAGATATTAATTTAGAGGAAGATAAAGACGAAGTAAATAGTTTGGACCCAGAATTAGGAACGGAAATAAATGTTAATGATATTGAAATAGATTTAACAGATTCAGATAACAGCTCTCAACCTCATAATGAAAGTTTCGTTACCATCAATGATACTATTGAGTCTGAAGAAATCACTGAAATTGATAATTTAAGTGAAAGCATTGGAAACTCAACAGAAAAACCCCAGATATTTTGTGGAGAAAATTGCTACATTGTTGTTTTAAAACATCCCTCAAATCTTTTTATTCATGGCAAAGTAATCATAAAAAGATTAGGAGGAACTGCACAAGTATTTGGCTATAATATACGAGATAAGCCATGTGAAGTGTATGCACCATTTTATAATTTTGCTCAGTGTATAAGGACTGTCGAGTGTAATAATGATTACTATGGTCTCTTTAACAAATTGACCACAAATGGATTATCTGTTACTGAAGCAGAAGAAATTGTTACTACTCTCGGCAGTTATGATGTAATAATAGCTTTAGAGAAACTACAAAGTATAAAAATGGACTTCGTGGAAAATAACTTCAATGTCACCAATTTGTTTAATCGATCTAATGAGAATATTGAAGGTTGCTTAAAGAAGGTATCAGAAGACCTATGCTGTTCTTTATATTCATCTCAACCCTATAAACACCTCGAAGAGAGCCCAAATTGGCAGCAAGCTGTTAATTTTGGATTTAGTAAGTTGAGATTGTTGTTACATACTTTTAAAAATATTTATACATACTGTCACATTTACGTTATTCAATAACTTGGTGAATCAATTTGTAACAATTATTTGTTCTATAATTACTTTGATGATCATATATGTACTCCAGATTGAATTTCCATTCAAATGAAACTAGTATCTATGTTCCTACACTACTACTATCCTTAGTATTATAGTGCATGAGTGTAAGCGTAAACACAGGTGCACACAATTCCCTCACTCTCATAGTCCAAAGAACCAGCAATTGGTCACCATTGGATAGAGAGCAGCCACACCAACAGCCTTATATTCTTTCTGAGGTAAGGGATTAACTGTATGACTCTAGGGTGCTACTGAGAATTTTTTAAAAGAAAAACCTATTAACTGATTTCAGTCTGAATGCCATAAGACAAACAAGGCAGTCAGTTGTGCATAACCTATGTGAGCATTGCATGCAAAAGCAAATAAAAAAATGCATGAATTTCTTACATATTTCTTACACTCATCTCATATTTTTAGGTAATGTGATATTACTAGCTTAGACAATTTGGAAATCTATGTAATTTCCTCTAAATCTATGTAACTGTTCATTTCTAAACTCTGAACAAACTTTAGTGAGATGCAAATCAAAGAAAATACACTTTTGTTTCTATTAATTTGTGATTCTTTTACTATGATGAGAAGTTTTTTTTGTGTTTGACAATTCTAAGCGTTACAATAATTGTGTAGTGGTTGTATGAGAATATTTACTACCCCATATCGTCGCATGGGTGTAGTGAGAAGTGACAGAGTATAAGAAATTAATCAATAAATAATGAATTAACGGTTCCGGAGTACAGTGGCAATATTGTATACAATACAAAATGGATTATGGAATTTTGATTTATTGTTACAAAGAATTAAAGTGCGATCCTCAATTCCTGAAGCTAAGATAATATACTGTGTAGCGACGGTGTAAGAATATTTATTACCTCATAACAAAAAGCATTAATTATGTTTGTTTTTTATTTAAATTTTTGTAACTCTTTACTGTATTATTATCACTTATAAGTTACATTTTCATTTGTTACATTCAGACGACCGAAGCAGAGGAATAGTTTGTGGTGGTAAAGGAGCGGGCAAGTCAACATTCCTCCGTTACTATGTAAACCAGTTGCTTAGTCAAGGGCCTATACTTGTGGTTGATTTGGATCCTGGGCAGTGTGAATTTACAGTAGCCGGTAACATATCTGCTACCATTGTGGAAGAACCACTTCTTGGACCCAACTTTACAATTTGAAGAAACAGAAATAATATTTTATATGTAAATTAAATCATAAATAAAAATACTTCTTAATAACATAATGTTTTCTTCATAAATATCAAATAATATAAATGCTTTGCATTATACACTTTAGTACTAATACTATTCTTAAAATAATCTGCTACCATTGTCGAAGAACCACTTCTTACCCAACTTTACACATGAAAAACCAGAAATGAATTATTATATGTACATTAACATCATATCAATAACATTAATTATCTTTCTTAATAACATTAATGTGTTTCTTCAAAAAAAAATAAATCTTGTTGATTATACACTTTAGTACTAATACTATTCTTAAAATAATCTGCTACCATTGTCGAAGAACCACTTCTTGGACCCAACTTTACACATTTGAAGAAACCAGAAATGTAATATTATTATATGTACAATTAACATCATATCAATAACATTAATGTATCTTTCTTAATAACATTAATGTGTTTCTTCATAAATATCAAATAATATAAAGTGCTTGTTGCATTATACACTTTAGTACTAATACTATTCTTAAAATAATCTGTCTAAAATAATTCATGTGAAACAGTTTAACTTTTTTGTGGTAGAGCCACACTGCAACTTATTGACTGCACTATGAATGGGTTGATTTGTCTGGTGAAAGATCTCGTTATCATTAAATAACAGTGTAAGATTGTAGCATAAAGGTTGACTCTTGCTAGACCGAGTTGGGTCCGAGCCGAGTGTTGGTCGTAGCATGGTCACCGAACCGGTCTATCGTGAATCATCCTTAATGCTGCAGTGTGTTGTATGGTATGTGAAGTGAACCAGAGACCATTTTCCTGGTATTGAGGCATTCCTTAAATGAGATGACAATTGTTTACATTTTGTTACACCTTTTATTAAAAAAAAAACTACTTGCTAGTTTCCATGAAATGCAGAAGCTATTTGTGATTAAGTGGACTATAAGTTCGTTTGTCACGTGGTAGAGCCATGCTGCAGTTATATTAGTAGTATAGTTGTAGCACAAAGGGGTCAGCTTGACCGGGGAAGGACCACGCTCTCACAGAATACCAGCATGAAATAGCTTAATGCTGCTGTGTTTCGTATGGTGGGTGTAGAGAACCGGAGACCTTTTTTACTGGAAACGAGGCGTTCCATCATAGTCCTCACGGGTGACAACGCATCTGCATTTTGATTCATGATCGAGGACAGATGTAGATGCCTATAGGCCACAGCAACCACTTACCATCAGGTGGGCTGTATGCTCGTTTGTCAAACTATCCTATAAAAAAAGTTTTATATTATATGAGCTGTTATCCGGCGCGTTGCTACCGCGGACGAAATAATTGTGGAAATATCATTTTAAATTTGAAGGAGTTATATTGTTTAATTAGTAATGATCATACATTCATTGAAATTGAAAAAAGAAGTATATAACTTTCAAATAAAATTGTCGGCACGGCGATGCGCGCCACTTACTGTAAGTTAATAGTACTATGCCTATAGCTTTCGCGCAAGTGCAAGTAATAAGTTGACAAAGTTTTACCGCAATCTGATGAATTGTATGGCAGCGCATAATATACGAACTAACAGACAAACATTACTTTTTATATATTAGATATATTTTCCTACTGTTTAAGAATGAGGGTGATATTGAATTTTAATAAGACCAATTTTATCTCTGTTTCAGAATGTTAAATGTTGGTATGATAAGCACAATGGATAATACAAGGCGGTACATATCCGCAGTGAATTCTCTTATTACCCGCTGCTCTAATGACGAGCGGCTTAGTAACCTGCCATGGATCGTCAATACAATGGGCATGTGTAATGCCATTGGGTTGAAATTTATGTGCTTCATTATACTTCGGACTCAACCGACGTTTCTCTTGCAAATTGAACTACAAGCTTTAAGAAAAAACTTCGAGTTTCGCTTAATACCACAGAAAATTGAAGAATTATATGAGGAATATAAAAATGATAGATTGTTCAAGGAGTTGTCACGGCCTGATCAATTATCTTACTCATACATAATATCGCCGGCTGAGACATATCGTGTCAACACTAATATGGGAACTGACAATTTCTCTTTGGCGCCAAGGGACGAAAGATACCTAAATATCTTGGCGTATTTTGGTGAACTATTGCATGTTCAAAGATGCAATAATCTGTTAGAGATTACTCCTTATTCGTAAGTATATTTTACAAATTAATAAATTAAACGTGAAAAAAAAAGGAAAACGGAAGAAAAAGTGTAGCTATTTAAAACAATAATTTGCTTTGAGTATTATGACTGCCACGCGAATTGGTCGCCTCGACCGGGATAGACCGCGCGCTTACAGATAATCAGCTTAAAATAGGAGCTTAATGCTGTCGTTTCGTATGGTAAACCGTGTGCTTGTTTATCACACTTTTATAAAAGTATATAGTTTATGTTCTGCTATTGTGTAATGAATCTAAGCCCTTTCAAGGCGTGGCTATTCCGTGCCAGGACACCCCAGTGCCAGCTGTTTCCACTTGACCGCATCCAGCGAAGAACGGGCTCAATTGTCGGCTACCTAGTTATTTCTGTCGGTTCGATTCTCTAGCGTTGCGATGAGATGTCGCATCCCTTTGCATTTTCTATCACACATCACTACAGAATTTGTGATACCATCTAGATGCTTGGCGGTCCTCAACTGTACGATTTACCAGTAGTCTTCTTCTTCGCACGACTTCTTTGTGGAATGGTGTACCATCAGAGATTTTTGATATGATGATGATATTGTTGCGCGCCACAGTTGATGGCACTAGCGCCATCTGTTATCAAATATCAGAAATAGGAATGCCACGACTGAACTTTCAATCAACAGCGCCATCTAGTTTGGAATAGAAGAACTAAGCTTTCTGGAAAGCTCCACACTCGAACTTTCTGCACCTGGTCGATCGGGGACCGGTATTTGCTGGAATATTCTGGATGTATCGATGAAAAAGGCGTATATAAAGGCGTTGAAGCCCGCCACCGGGGGCTGTATTGAATTGGCGATACGAGCGAAGCTTTCGGAGTGAAATAAAGGGAACTAAAGTGTTAAGTGTGAATAATTATTAGTGTGATTGAAGTTTTAATTGGTGTTCAGTAATTAAAGTGTCAATTTTGGTAATTTAATCGGCCGTTTTTTTGTCACGAACCCTAAGCTCGTAACAATTGGTGTCAGAAGTGGGATAAAATCATGCCGATCTTACCGAAGGACGACACGGAGGGTGTCCGTACTCGAAGTCAACGCCAGCAGGCGACGCACCAGAGAAGATTTGGTGGTGCAACGCCGCAGACGTCAGGGGCCAACTGCCAGACACGGAGGCTGGCCCGTGAGCAGCTCCTACACCTGCAGCACCTGACTTAGGTGCGCTCATGATGATGCTGCAGGAACAAGTTCGCCGACAGGAAGAACAGGTTGGCGCACAGGAGGAACAGGCCCTTTGGTTGAAAGAGCAGCAGAAGGAACAGACCTGCCAGCAGGTGGAACAGGCCCGCCAGCAGGCGGAACAGGCACGCCGATTGGAAGAGCAGTTGCGGGGCGGACAGGAGGAACAGGCCTGTCGTTTGGAAGAGCAGCTCAAACGCGGTATGAAAGAGCAGATGCTTCTCATGAAGGACCTTTACGCTACCTTCGGGGAAGAGATTAGGGGGTTGAAGGATAAAGTTGCTCAGTATGACAAACGTCTGTCGGAAGCTGAGACCCGAATCGACCAAGTGAACAAAGTGATGGCTGACATGAAGAAAATGCTGGATGACCTCAAACTTGAGGATGGAATAACAGCTCCCGTGGTAGCTGCAACACCTTCACTTCGTGGATTCAAAGTGCTGCCGTTCGACGGCACTTCTTCCTGGTCGGCCTACAAAATCCAGTTCGAGGCTGTTATGAAGGCGAACGGCTGGAATAAAAGTCAGGCCATGACTGCACTCACCCTAGGCTTGCGCGACCAAGCCTTAACTGTGTTGGAAGCTCTCGTTAAGAAAGTGACCTACGAGCAGCTCCTTGAGGCATTGGAGGCGAGATATGGCGACGCTCACCTGGAACACGTCTTTCGCGCGCAGCTTAAAGATCGCGTGCAATGCAGCTACGAAAACCTTCAGCAGTGGGCCCTTGAGGAGAAGCTGGTGCGAAAAGCATACCGGTCTGTACCTGCGCTCATTGAAGGGAACCTGGTGCAGACATTCATCGACGGCATCCGCGACCTTGAAGTCAGAGCTGCTGTGAGGATCGGGCACCACGTGACGCTTAATGAAGCCTTGGCCCATGCACTTGATGTTAAAGCCGTGCGGCAGGATTATCGTTCCCATCGCGTGACGTAGGTTGCAGTAGCTACAGTTCCCGACCCCAATAATAGATACAGCCCTAGGTGCTATGGCTATGGAGAAAGAGGCCATCTTCGATCCAGTTGCCCTAAGCGAACTGTAGAAAGGGAAGGTCGATCGATCTCGAGGGGGTAGTGCAGCTAACGGCACTGCCCAGCAGCGGCAGGATCATCGTTCTCCTCACGTTAGGGAGGCTGCAGCACCTACAGTTCGCGACTTCAATAAAAGTTACAGCCCAAGGTGCTACGGCTGTGGGGTAAGGGGCCATCTTCGATCCAGCTGCCCTAAGCGATCTGTAAAAAGGGGAGGTGGTCGATCTCGAAAGGGTAGTGCGGCTAATAGCACCGCCCAGCAGCAGCAGAAATACGACTTTACTATCGAACACAGCAGCGGGAAATGGCATTGCAACACAGATGCATTGTCAAGAAGACCTTATCCTGATGTTTGCAAGAATAGTACTAGGCAAGAGGGTAAGAAAGTGGTATCTGTGAGGATTCTCAGGACAGACCACCTCAACAACGAGTGGAATGACAGCTTACAATATGCACAGCAGGAAGATCCGGACATCAAGCCGATTCTGGAATGGATGAAGGCCAGTGCTCCCAAGCCCAAGTGGAGCGAGCTCTCAGTGATGAGCTTGACCGCGAAAAGCTATTGGGCCCAATGGGACAGCTTGCTGCTTCAGGATGGAGTTCTGTGCCGTAAATAGGAAAATGGTCGGGGAGACAGCTGTCATTTGCAAATGGTTGTCCCTAAAGCTAAAGTACCGGATGTTCTACAGCTGTACCATAGTGATTGTTCGGGAGGCCATCTGGGAGTTAAACGAACTCTACTGAAGATTCGAGAACGGTTTTACTGGGTCCATTATTGTCACGATGTCGAGGATTGCTGTCGCAAATGTACAAGTTGTGCGGCTGTGAAGGGACCTCAGACTCGTAGTAGAGGTGCATTAAATTGTACAATGTTGGGGCACCACCCATAGTGCCACAACATTCTACAATATGCGTGCCTCTCCCAAGAGGACAGCCCTTGACGTTGCGGAGCTGTTTCAGAAAGGTGCAAGAGGTACCCCTAAGATCGTCCATGTGGATCGACTGGCGCGTTATTATGGGACCGATAATGCTCGGGACGAGCATGTCTTAGGAGAGGGAAGTGTTGCGCGCCACAATTGATAGCACTATTGCCATCTGTTATCAAATATCAGAAATAGGAATCCCACGACTGAACTTTTAATCAACAGCGCCATCTAGTATGGAATAGAAGAACTAAGCTTTCTGGAAAGCTCCACACTCGAACTTTCTGCACCTGGTCGATGGGGGACCGGTATTTGCTGGAATATTCTGGATGTATCGATGAAAAAGGCGTATATAAAGGCGTTGAAGCCCGCCACCGGAAGCAGTATTGAATTGGCGATACGAGCGAAGCTTTCGTAGTGAAATAAAGTGAACTTAAGTGTTAAGTGTGAATAATTATTAGTCTGATTGAAGTTTTAATTGGTGTTCAGTAATTAAAATATCAATTTTGGTAATTCAATCGGCAGTTTTATTGTCACGAACCCTTAGCTCGTAACAATATTTAATTAGAGACCTTCAAGAAAAAAGCTTACTCCTTTTTAAAAGGCCGGCAACTTCCCTGTTATTTATCCCCTTGATTTTTCGGTAGTTATAGGTGGCTATAATCAGTACTTAGTGTTATCACAAGAGTGAAGATATCCTAGGATCAATCATTGGGTGTCCGGTACAATGTATTTTCCTGCATTTTCGTTACGCGTCTGGACATTGCTAAGTTAAACTATCAGTTTGGGAATACTCATAGACAATCACTCATTTACACCTATACTTGTCTTGGGCAATCTGGTTTCAATTCCTGCTCTACACTATTGCAGTTGAGTTTTTATTCAGGAAACGGTCTCTTTGATCTAATGGTCATAAGCGCGACTACTTAGCATATGGTATCCGTTTCAATTCCCGGGTTGGGTCAAGAATAGTCGTTAGGTTTATCTGTCAAGAAATTTACAGTAACATCTCGGAGTCAGGAATTCCAAGTTTTACTTCCGTGCCTCGAAAATCACGTAAAGCCGTTGGTTCAGCGCCTGATCTCTCTCCGGTCGAGTCGTTTTGTCGTCCCATCGCATTATTAGAGTGGGAATAGAGAAGGAACCTGTTGCTTATGCACACACTCGTGCCCTATAATTCTGTCCTGCGCAATTGGCTAGTCTGCGTTGAGACTATCTGCCGTGACCAAAATTCGGTCTCAACATCATCATCACAACCCATCATGTTCCCATCCCCCGAATGCCACAAACGGCGACCTCAATGCACCAGAGAAGGGCCCCAGAACTCCCTTTGGGGGGGGGGGCAACGCCGCAGCTGTGTGCCGTTGGGGGCGGGTTCTTCTTTTTTTTTAGAGAAACTCCGAGTATAGCTATATCCATAACTCACTGAGTGACCTTGAGATTCCTTATTCATTCAGCAGCGAAGAAACATCTCAGATATTTCACACATGTGAATGTTCTACGCACTACTTCTACACTCTTGTTTTCAAGTTTTGAGGTATACCTACCGAGAAGATGTGTCGTGATCGGTGCCCAGCGAAGTGGGATCTATCGATTCACATCTCGGTCGAAGTTGGGCTTACCTAGTCGGTCAAGTTGTCCTAGGTTTTTTTTTTCATAGAATAAGGGTGGCAATTGAGCACACAGTCCACCTGATGGTAAGTGGATGCTGTGGCCCATAGACATCTACATTTATCCTCGATTAAGAATCAAAACGCAGTTGCGTTGTCACCCCTGAGAACTAAGATGGAATGCCTCGTTTCCAGAAAAAGGGGTCTTCTGCTCTCTAGACTCATCATAC